AAGGTGAAAGGAAGAAGAGGGTTGGCGAGGAAGAGGAGCCGTCAGCCATAGCTGACTGGAGGGTTGACCAAGAGGGTTGACCGGAGGTATTGACCGGCGGTTACCGGAGTTGATCGGGGGTTGACCGGGGGSTATAGCAGCATTGACCGGCGTTGACCAAGACCGTTGACCACGTGTTGACCAAGCTGGAGTCGGTAACATCTCGCCAAGCCCTCAGCCTATCCCTCGCCCTATGGATGTGCACACACCCCTTGGTACATGCTGAGTCCAGTCTGTCTGTCTATTCTTTCAGCATCGAGTCTCTTCTGTCCTAGGTGATAGTACTCTGTGCGTGAAGGATAGGGTCTTGTTGACCAAACCCACACGGGATGAGTAGGGCTAAAAGCTATGTCTGACGACTCGACTGTCCCGGAGGTCAAACCCTCCCAAGGACCGGTACTGACCGGCAGGCTGCTCGGTGTGGCACGGTAGGTCTCGAAATTCGAGCTGTGGGTTGTACAACGGACCGTCTAAGTCTTGAGAGACCTGCTGATCGTGTTGTCCTGTTTGCGACGTTAAATAATTCCTGAGGAGTTCAGGGGATCTCCTTAAATGCCTCCTGATCAAAAACAGGTCTAGTAGTGACAGCCATAGTTAGGTCTAGGCTAGAGACCATAGTTGACAGGATCCCTGTCAGGATTCCGTGAGTCTTAGATTGAGTCAGTAGTTCTGTCAGTCAGGGGTTAGAGTCGACGTGGTGAGGTTTGAAACCACCACCCGGTTGTGCACTTTTCACCATGGTCGAGACCCGCAGTGGGAAGGACACTAGCCCCTACACCAAGGAGAAGCAAGAAAAGATGGTCGCCTTAGTTAAGAAGAATAGGGAGAGAAAAGAGCGCGAGAAACAAGCGAAGTTTAAGGCGATTGCAGAGGAACAGGCGGCGAAGATGAAGGAATTAGAGGAGGAGATGGAGAAAAAGAAGAAGGCTGATGAAGAAGAAGCGGCAGCAGAAGAAGAAAAAGAGAGAATGAGGATTGAGAGTGGAGAAGGGAGCAATGGTGGCACGATGAAGAGGAATACAGACGTTGAGATTGAGAAGAAGATAAGCGAGTGGGTCGCTAATTTATCGTTGGGAGAAGACGAGGAGGCAGTGTCTTACGTGACTGAGGATGAGAGGGCTGCGCTAGCCAGTGAGCTAGCAGCAATGACAGATCCAATGGAACCACGAGAAAGGGAGGAGGAACAAAAGTTGGCATGGAAATTAAGGATGAAGAGGGAGAAGAAGAGAAGGAGAGAGGAAGTGAGCAAACTGACCGCGAAGGTGGCAAAGGTGCAGGAATGTAGAAAGGAAGTGTTGGCCCAGCCAGATGACAAGGCCAAGTGCGATAAGGTGCTGGGCTACCTAGAGGTGTTGAGCAAAGCCTGGATGGAGGAGCGCCAGGCCAGTTGGAGCCAAGACGTAGCGTTGAGTGTCATGCGGTCAGGGTTCAAAGACTTTGCGCGCGAGATCGTCACCCACATTGGGGGCGAAGTCAGGCAATTAAGGGACAACTTAGGGAAGTTTTGTGAGGGCGCTATCGAGGGCGCCAAAGCCATACTAGCCGCTGTAGCAGGCGAGGTCAGGCCTAGCAAGGACCCAGTTAAGCTTAGGTTCCTGGATGTTTATGGAGGGAAGAAGGAAAAAAAAACTGACAACAGGAAAGCCAGTGTCAATAGTTATATATATCTACAGCATATCCTGATAGAGGAACAAGTCCTCGTGGCCTTTCAGGCCCTTAAGGATGAGGCGGCTAACTTTGCCAGGTCCCTTGAGGCTTGCGCGCGCAGCCGGTTGTGAAAACAACCTGGTTGCATATTCAAAAGTCACCCCCTTTTCTCAATTCCTCAAGCTCCTGAAGGAGCGGTTTGTAGACCCAACAAGAGGAGTCCGCGCCTCTGATAAGTTGCAAACGATCCACTCACGACAGTGGAGGAGTACAAGGGCACTCAAGGGTACAATGGACGACTTGGTAGCCGTCCCAGACCATGGGGTCACTGAGCCCCCATTTGTCCAGTTATTTTATTGTGCATGCCAGAGGCCCTACGTGGGCATTTCTTTGACAAGTCTCAACAGGCTGGCATCACTTATGATGCATTGAGTAAAGAAGTCGTCCTGTATTAATCGAAGTCCATGCCAGTTACCACTTTCTGGCACAGGGACTTAGATAAGTGAAATAAGTGGAAAGGTCATACCATCTCAGGCCAGGTGAGGGCCAAGGATCACATGATACTTACTTTAGAGGAAGGTGGTACTGATGAGGTCCCATACAGTCAGATTGAGTGGGGCCTAGAAGAGGAGGACAGTAGTGTGGGACAGGGGAGGTCTTATGCTGCTGTCGCGGCTGGAGGGAGGCCGCAAGGTAGAGGCGGTTAGGGCCAAAGGGGCCAGGCCATGGGAGGTCGAGGACCGGGCGCACAGAGGGTTGGCGGACAGGGAAACCGCCAAGCAGGAGGTAGGGGTTAAGGTCCCCCACTAAATCTTCAAGGTTCTAACTGGTCCCCGCAGCGAAGAGGTGGAAGGGCACCTCAAGGAGGATGGCACCCAGGCTTGCCACAGGGCAGGCCCTGGGAGGATTTGGGCTTGGACCAGTGTTTATGGCAGGAACGTGTGAACCTGGGTCAGTGCGTGTTTTGTGGTGACCCCGCCCACATAATTAAATTTTGTTTTAAGTATAGACAGGCCCGTTGGGCTGCCCAGCAGTCAAAAGGCAGCCGCCAGTAGGGGTCGCAACTGCCCCTACTTTAAGGCCATGTGGAGAAGTAAGCGCGCGCGAACAGGACACTCCCAACCCACATGAGCCTATGGCAGAGGTTGCAGGCCCGTGCCTAGCTAGCTGTCTAGAGACCGTCTGTGTTAGCGTCTCTTTAGGCACGTTCCTCACAGGTGTGGCAGAAGAGTTATAGGAGAGGATGCCAGCCTGGGCCAAAATGAAGAAGGAGAGCAAAGGATAGTTGATCTTGGTAGATGTAGAAGTTTTTCAGGAGTAGAGTAGGGGCCCTTATAGACTCAGGGGCCACCCGCAGTTATATTCGCCGCAGAGCGCTGAAAAAGTTGAGGCTAGGATTAAAATTTCAGAAATTGACAGACCCCATAGTCAGTGTCCTCGCAGACAACTGCACAATGCGTGTTGAGGACTATGTAGAGGGAGTCCAGACATACTTTCGCCTAGAGAAGGATGGGAAGGTGGAAAAAGTTCTCCATTCCCTAACTCTCCTCGTACAGGATGACCTTCCCTTTGACGTAGTATTGGGAATGGATTGGGGAGAGGCAGCAGGGGCCACACTCCATTTGAGAGAGCATGAGTGTAGGCTCCCTAGCCCGTCAGGCGAGGTTAAGACTGCTCGCCTGTTTCATGTGTCAGGTGTAGACAACACCTTGGCACATTGTTGTCTCAGTGCTCCCGCGTTCGCATGACTAGTGAAGAAGGAGCAGTTAGAGGACCAGGTCTTTGTAGTTTATGTTAGACCTGCCACTGAAGCCAAGAAAAAAGATAGTTCCACAGATCTAACGATTGCCAAGTTGTTGGAAGAGTTCAAAGATTTGACTTAGTCGCCGACAGGAGTAGTGTCGCGACCCATCCAGCACAGGATAGAGATAGAGTCTGGCAGTAGAACTCCTAAGGGCGCAGTTTACAGGATGTCCCCTAGGGAGTTAGAGGAGTTGCGCAAGCAGTTAGACGAGCTCCTCGAGAAAGGTTTGATCAGGCCCAGTTCGTCTCCTTTTGGAGCACCAATTTTATTTGTCCCCAAAAGGGAAGGAGAGCTTCGTATGTGTATAGACTATAGGGGTTTGAAGGCGATTACTATGAAGAATGCTGAGCCACTGCCCAGGATAGACGATCTCTTAGATCGGGTGCAGGGTTGTAAGTATTTCTCCAAGATAGATTTGAAGTCCGGATACCATCAGATAGAAGTCCATCCTGATGATCAGTACAATACTGTATTCCGGACTAGCTACGGGCACTATGAGTTCATAGTGGTGCCCTTTGGACTTACCAATGCGCCAGCCACCTTTCAGCGTTGTATGAACGATCTGTTCAGACCATGGTTAGACAAGTTTGTAGTAGTCTATTTAGATGATATATTAGTTTTCAGTAGGACCCTCCAGGAGCACCAGGGTCATCTGAGGTAGGTCTTGGAGAACCTACGAGAGGCTAACTTCAAGATCAACGCAAAGAAGTGTGAGTGGGCCAAGACACAAGTCCTGTAATTGGGCCACGTGTTGGACGGAGATGGCATTAAGCCAGAGGACAGTAAGATAGAGGCGATTAGAGATTGGTCGACACCCCGCACATTGACAGAGTTGCGGTCGTTCCTAGGCCTAGCTAACTACTACAGGAAGTTCGTGAGGAACTTCTCCACTATCGCCGCTCCCTTGCGCAGGTTGCTAAAGAAAGAGGCAATCTGGCAATGGGACAAAGACTGTACGTCTGTGCTCAAGAAGTTAAAGTGTGCGTTTGTCGTCACCACGGACGCGAGTCAGTATGGGATAGGCACCGTGTTGCAGCACGATGACGACAATGGCTATAGACCCGTAGAGTTCATGTCCGCGAGGATGCCCTCAGAGAAGGTAGCCACCTCGACGTACGAGAGAGAACTCTACGCTCTCAGGCAGGCTCTAGACCACTGGAAGCATTACCTGCTTGGGAGGCAGTTCAAAGCGTATTCTGACCATGAAACACTTAGATGGTTAAAGACTTAGGCCAAGATGACACCTAAGTTGACTAGGTGGGCCGCAGAGATAGACTAATATGACTTTGAGCTTAAGCCAGTGAAGGGCAAGTACAACGTAGTTGCGGACGCTCTGAGTAGAAGATCAGACTACTTTGGAGTCAGAGTACACTATCTGGATATTGGGAGAGACCTGCAGGAGAAAGTGAAGCAAGCGTATGCACAGGACCCTATCTATAGCGACCTCCTAAAGAGAGTGAAAGAGGCCCCAGAGACTTAGCCAGATTACCGCACTACAGAGAGATTACTGTTTGAAAAGACTAATGTATTTGACCGCCTGTGCGTTCCCAATAACGAAGAGATTCGTAGTTTGATCCTTGGGGAATGCCACGATACTGAGGGACATTTCGCTTGGCAAAAGACATTAGCCAATCTGATGCGCGCGTACACCTGGCCAGGAATGAAGAATGACTGCATAAAGTATGTCCGCGGTTGCAAAGTATGCCAGCGTAATAAGACTACTACACGCGCGCCCCTAGGTCTTCTCAGACCTTTGCCTATTCCGGATCAGCCGGGAGACTCAGTGTCCATAGACTTCGTGGACACCCAAGTCAAAAGCAGACATGGCAAAAGCCAAGTTATGGTCATAGTTGACCGATTTAGTAAGTATGCAGTTTTTGTTCCTTTGCCTGCAGAGACATGTACAAATTTAGTGCTACAGTTCTTTGACTTTTGGGTTAGTGAGAATGACATCCCATTGTCAATAGTTAGCGATAGAGACAATCGTTTCACCAGCCAGAACTGGCAAGAACTTATGAGAGTCTACGGATCTAAGCTATTGATGTCGTCTGGCCGCCATCCAGAGACGAACGGTCAGACAACGTGCATCTATCCACCTGCCGCACTGAGTCTCCCAATGAGCTGCACAAGTCCTTTAGACCACGCAGACCGCTCGAAGGATTGAACCGGGATCAGACTCACAGGCTTCCGCCCGGAACTAGGGAGTTTGCGATATAGAACGAGAAAGAACTAGCAACGGTTGTAGAGAACCTTAGGAAAGCCCAACATAGAATGGTAGAACAGGCTAATAAGCATCGTCACCCATCGCAGTTTCAGGTAGGTGACTTAGTCTGGGTCAAGACTAAAGAGTTTGCACCTGAGGAAAACATATCGCAGAAGTTACTGCCTGCATAAAGAGGATCGTGGCCGGTTCTAGAAGTTAAGGGCGGAGAGGATGGACCGTCCTACACCATAGAGATTCCAGCACACCTCCACACATACCCTGTGTTTCATGCTTCAAAGCTACTGCCATGTGTCACAAGTCAACAGTTCTCTTCAAGAGGATCCATGATCCCCTCGGATATAGATGGAAGTTATGACATTGACGGCATTGTAGATGAGGATGTGTTCAGAACAGGAGGTAGAGGTCGTCCACAGAAACAGTACAAGGTCCGGTTTGCTTATCAGGAACCGGAGGACGACCGGTGGTTCACTAGGACAAAGCTTCTAGAAACAATTCCCGACGTAGTCAGAGCCTATGACCGTGACAAGATAGGTAAAGGTCCTGCCTTGGACTGAAATATTCTCGGAGAACCTCGAATTTAGGACGGTGGGAGTGAAACGGTTTTCACCTTTTAGCAGTAGCAGATGTAATACCCAAGGCTCGATCCCTAGATCTCACCTTACCCATGTACAGTATCGGTGTAGACCCCGAGCGTTGAACCTGTGACCTATGTATTCGTAGACAGTTGGTAGGTCTGTCGTAGGTCCATAAGCAGCAGGGCTTCGATCTGTAGGTCTATAGGGTAGAAGTCGTAGCAAGTTCCAGAAGTCTAGCTGTAGTCCTTCTAGAAGAAGGTCGGCAAGTGGGCAAGTGGTCAAGTGGCGAGGCAAGTGGTGGACTAAACTGCAGTGCAATCGCGGTACGACGATGGTAGGATAGCAGTGAGTCCACAGACAGTCAGCGGTAAGGTCCAGTCAGTCCCAGTCCGGTCCAGCAAGTACCACGGGGGACTTTGCACACCATGGGCCGATGGCAAAGGGCAGACCAACGAGTTTCCGAAGTATAAATCAAGAGGCAGCGCCCAACCTTTCATTCATTCCTGCGTGAGCCATGCGGAAGCCTTGTCACAGCGACTTGTGCAAGGAGGTCTGCAGTGAGCCCGGAGGATGCAGTGGGCGAGAGAGAAGGAGCTAAGTATAGCGATAGGGTAGAGGCAGCCATAGCTGCCATAGCTGTAGTTAGTGTGAAGTGTGTGTGTGTGTATGTGCGAGTGTTCAGAGCGACGCGTGTGGGATATCCAGGGTTGTACGGTTTGAAGAGACCTATAAGCGTATATTTTTTGTTTTAGATTATGAAGTATTTTTTCATTTTTAAAAAATACAAAACCAAAAAACAAGTATTTAAATCAAAAGAAACATAATTAAAAAATTTTATTTTTTTATTT